CACTGCATCATAGAACCATGTAGGCGAGCGTGCATGTGCAGCGGCGAGCTGCCCTGAGGCATATGCTGGCGACACGACGAGAAGCGGTCCCGTTGCTCGCGTCATCGCAGCTGTAAGACGCTGATGCGCTGCTTCTCCACACTCCGTGAACTCGCAACCCGGTCAACAATGTCGCGAATTTTTCCGAGGTGAGCTAAAGTGCACTTCAAAAGGGGAGATTCGGGTGCACTTCACATTTGTGCAGTGAAGGAGTCGTGGCCCTTGGCCGAGCTTTGGAAGTTTGACCTTGGGACAGACCGTATCCGATCTGTCAGTCGATTATCCCCAAGGCACTTCGAGTTATTCGATAAAATGAAGGAAGGGGTCCGAGTGAATGCGTTGCGTCTCACATGTCTGATTGAACATTTCATACGAAATAACATTGGATGAATGTTCCCAAATAATGCCGATTTTGTTTGTGCGTTTGTGGACTTGGAAATAAGTGACCACATCACTTGTGATTTCACCTTATTTCCATTTTGTTGTGTCGTTGTCGTGTTGAAAAAACGGTTGAGCATGAACTTCGAGCAGGTATTTGGGAATAACAAAGTTTTTCATGAACCCCTTTGTTGCCATGCAGCTTGAACATCCGGTCTTCCGCGCGCGCTCCTTCTTTCAAGCACATGAGTGCAAAATTTTTGTCCCGCCCGCCCACCCTGGGGGCGAGATTCGGTGCACTTCACATTTGTGCAGTGAAGGAGTCGTGGCCCTTGGCCAAGTTTTGGAAGCTTGACCTTGGGACAGACCATATCCGATCTTTCAGTCGATTATCCCCAAGGCACTTCGAGCTTATCCGGTAAAATGAAGGAAGGGGTCCGAGTGAATGCGTTGCAGTCTCACATGTCTGATTGAATATTTCATACGAAATATATTTTGGATTAATGTTCCCAAATAATGCCGAATTTGTTTATGCATTTGTGGACTTGGAAATATATTTTCTTATATATTTGAGGTCGGGAACTTTCTATAGTTACGAAATTTTCTGCCGGTCTTGTGAGAGATAAAAAACCTAAATCTCGAGAGTCTTGTCATGCATATCTCGCTGAAGGACTTCCCGAGTTTAGGCTTTTTAGGTTTTTTAGGTTTTTCCAGTTAGGTTTTTTCAGTTAGGTTTTTTCAGCTGGGTTTTTCCAGCTAGGTTTTTTCAGTTAGGTTTTTTCATTTAGGTTTTTTCAGTTAGGTTTTTCCGTTCGGCTCCGGGCACACTGTCTGAAGCTGTTTGAAGCCAAGTGCTCAGTTTACACATTCTGCGTTCTGTATTCTCGATCGGGCCATATGGATGCGGTGTTTGAGCGCGCGTCGTCGAACCCGGCGAGATGATATGATCGCAGAGATTTGAGACTTTACACGTCGTGTCTGTGTCTGAGTTCAACTTGTTTACACGATGCTGATGCTCATAATGCTTCCTAAAAAGAGCACATATTCTAAAGTGAAGAACCTCAGAACCAAGCCGTGCCTACAGATCCTACAGAAAACGAAGTGTTTGTCGGCTACCTACCCGATGGCACTTGTTCGCATCTTTAAAGCTTTGTTGTGATGTTTTTTCCTTATGTCAGTTGTTCATGAAGCTTGTGCTTTATGTGCCGAACATGTTTACCAGGATCTCGAGTGCTTCGTGTTGGTGAGCGGTTTTTCAAAATTGTGGCAAGTGGTGAAGAACATCTTAGTCAAGCTGAGCGTTCATTCTTTGGTCTGTAAATCTTGGTCAAATCATCAACGGGTACTCAACAAGATTCATAAAGGTATAAAAAGTTTCTATAATCTATGGGTATCTATATGATGTTCTTTAAGATGTAAGAAAGGAGTATCGTGTAAAGTGTTCTATATGCTCTTGTTTTTGATTTCTTCACTGGGCACATAGCAGGTACAGCGCAGAGCATTCTGCTCCTGATTTTCCTCCCATTAATCCGTTATCTATAAAGTATTGTACAAGGCATTCTATGGTGCATTCTACGGGTATGTTATAGAATTCCATAGGGTTTTCTGTAGAACTTCCTATGGGGTACTCAGATGGTATCATAGACATTGTGTATATTCTGTAAGCTAGTCTGTAGGGGATTGCAAATGATATTCTACAAGGCTTATAAAAAGCCTAGTATGTAACGTTGTTTTGGGCTCTCTATCGGGTACTCCATAACGCATTGTATAGGGGATTGAATCAACATGAACGTAAAGATTATCTTATAGAAACGTATTCTATAGCCTAATGTACAGGCTATACGGCTATAGGGTACTCAAGAAGGTGTATATGAGGTATATAGGGGGTATTCTACAACGCATTGCCTAGGGTCACTTGTACGAAATTCTTTGAGGTTTGTGGTATTCTTTAGGTTATTCTCTTCGACTCCTGGATCACTCCTAGAAATCCCTTACCCAATAGGATGCTTCTTTATGAGGGGTTCTCGAATCTTGGGCTCGTTGAAAGGTTATCTATAGGTGTTCTTACTTCCCAAATACCTATGGGGGTGTAAAAAGTTTAAACTTTCGCAATAAGATTACCTTATTAGGGGCCAAAAGTTGAAAAGTTTGGTTTTGAGCCACTAAGTGTTATATGGGTTCAGGGTATATATACTGTATACATGGACTGTCATGTATAGGGCCATATGGGCATTCTGTAAAGTCTTCTACAGAGTATTCTAGACGGTCTTCCATGAGGCGCACGACATATAGAGGGTACTATGTGATCCAGAAACTATTTTGTAGGGTACTCTATGTCGTATTCTGTAAGGTACTGTGGATATTCAAAAGATATACGGGCTATGAATGAAAGTATATGATAAGGTATTCTATAGGCCCTGGGGTATTCAATAACGCATGAGGGTATTTTATATCAGTGAGGTTTCAAGATACATAGAGAAAGTATTCTACAGGACATCCTATAAGATATTCTATATAGTGTCTTGTATAGGGTGTCCTATAGGGTATGTGTAATATGATGCGTGCGGTGTTATATGTGTTCAAGGTATATATACTGTATATATGGACTGTCATATATAGGGCCATAGGGGCATTCTGTGAGGTCTTCTATAGAGTATTCCAGCCGGTCTTCCATGAGGCACACGACATATAGAGGGTACTATGTGTTCCATAAAGTATTTTGTAAGGTACTCTATGTCGTATTCTGTAAGGTACTTTGGATTCAAAACAATCACGGGCTATGACTGAAAGTATATGATAAGGTATTCCAGAGGCTCTAGGGTATTCAGTACGGCATGAGGGTATTCTATATCAGTGCATTCCATATGAAGGGTTTCAAGATACATAGAGAAAGTATTCTACAGGACATCCTATAAGATATTCTATATAGTGTCTTGTATAGGGTGTCCTATAGGGTATGTGTAATATGATGCGTGCGGTGTTATATGTGTTCAAGGTATATATACTGTTTGTATGGACTGTCATATGTAGGGCCATAGGGGCATTCTGTGAGGTCTTCTATAGAGTATTCCAGCCGGTCTTCCATGAGGCACACGACATATAGAGGGTACTATGTGTTCCATAAAGTATTTTGTAAGGTACTCTATGTCGTATTCTGTAAGGTACTTTGGATATTCAAAACAATCACGGGCTATGACTGAAAGTATATGATAAGGTATTCCAGAGGCTCTAGGGTATTCAATACGGCATGAGGGTATTCTATATCAGTGCATTCCATATGAAGGGTTTCAAGATACATAGAGAAAGTATTCTACAGCATTTTCAGATGGATTTCTACAAGATATAAAAGTTATGAGAGTGGATTTTGCAAAGTATTCTAAAATGTAATTTAAAGGGTACTATATTGGGGAAATACAAGGTATTGAACCCTGAAAGTATCGATAGATTTCGTGTTCACGGACATTATCTATAATCTCGATGCGTCTTATATATGGGAGGTGTAGAAATAGGGCCCTCTTTTCATATCTATACTTGTCGTGATACTATGTTAAATGGGATGATATATCTTTGCTTTCCTGTTGCGTGTTACCTTCAGAGCCCATACTGCTGCATGCAAAAACCTACACACACACAGAGCATGCATGCAAGCTTGCGTTCTTTTGCAACACGAGAAGAAGCCGTACGCGAATGTATGTCGCTTGGAAAAACTCAAGGTGTATATGGAGGAAATGCAGAATGTAGGATCTGCGAAATCTTTGATGCAGTCGAAGCGTATTTAGTGAAGGGCTTATAAAAAGAAGGGAATACGTTATAGAATATCAACTATTTCGCATCCGGCTCTCAAACACACGAAAAAGGTGGATCCTTGAGGGGGGGTAGCATATATATATATATATGAATACATACACACACATGCCCAATAGTATGCTCTATCTATATGTGTCGTAAACTTGGCCTTGCGAAAAAATAGCCAAGCAAAAAAAGATTTGGTTGTTTCTAAGAACATGGATTGTGCCACAGAAGTTGGGTACAGTAATTCGCGTGTCGTCGCCGTTCATGAAACAACCTCATGTCAGTGGAGACCAAAAAATGCAGATACACTGAACCTTGAAGCCACAGCAAGACTCAGATACCAGCTACCTGCATGGAAAAGAGAAGGGCTGCACGTGATATGTCTGGTCCAGCTTTTGTCCAGGGCGTGCCTTCGCTTGGTTTCCCATTGGGTATGTCATGACCAACCCACACTCCATCGAGTTTCGGGGCTTCAGACTGCGTGAGTCGTGGGCGATGGTTCGGCACAGGTTTTGCATACGGCTATGAACTTTGCAGAGCTTCCCATTGTCCGAGCGGGTCAGCGCCGGAGAGCCATTGGTCAATTCCGGCACAAGGACTACATGAAAGCTTGATAGTGATTCAGTTGGATTCCAAGCTCGAGGAATGTAGCGTGCACGCCCCCCCCCCCCCGCAGCCGTTGTCCGTCAAGTTGTTACGATGTGTTTTGATGAAACATGCCTGTTGTAATCATGTCATGTGGGATGCAGCACGGCTCCCGTATCGGGAAAACGATTTTCGCTGCCAGCAACATGGATATCCCTGAAAGGGACACCTCCATGGCAGAACGGAGAAGCCGTACTTTCAGTTCGTCCGAGGAGCCATTGTGACGGTGTCATAGGCAATGCGTGCTGCTGATTTGAGATTGCATGCTGATCAACTGGTTTTTGTTCATGGAGTTGCGACTTGCAGGAATGGCAGCAAGCGTTGCAAGCGTTAAATTCACCACCACAATCCAGGCCCATGCAGCCAACCCTTTTCTGTGCCTGAAATGAGCTGTGTTGTGGACCCAAGGTCAATCAGCTCCAGACCAGAACAGGTGTTCCACCATGCAGAACGCTACACACTGGGAAATGCTGTGAAGGACACCGCAATTTGTAAGCCGGGCCAGAGTGTTCCTCTGCGAAACGCGTCCCAATGCGAGTCGACTTGATTATGTTGCCGGGGTTGCGGCCGTTTCGTTTGCAGGATATGGCCCGCGCTTTCCGGGAGCGTCACATGGAAACTTCGTTGAAAAGGTTGCGAGCGTCGCCTGCTCTGATTTTTCTGAAAGTGCCTCGGCTAGTGGGCCGTGTTGTGGCTTCTGGCAGCATCCGGTGTGAGAATGTACCATCGCTAAGGTTCATGTGTTTCGTTTGTGTCCAAGGGCATCCAAGGGCCCAAGAGCCGAATCCAGCGATATTGAAGATGTAACGAGCAGGAGTCTCCTGTTGTGGCCAATTCATGCGATGTGCTGGTGTGGTCGAATCATGCCAGTACCAGCTGAACAGCTTTAGACGCTACAGTTGTAAGCTTTTAGGCTTTTGGACATTCGAATCCCTGGGCCCTTTGTACAAACTGGCTACCGGTAGGATGTCGAGCAGTGTGTTAGCAAGCCTAAGTTCTCTCTTGCTGTGATAGGGTGACCCTTGTTCTGATCGTTGCGGCACCTGCCTTTGCAACTCCTTGATCTCACCCCGCCGCAAGGTCTGGCACACCTATGGCATTTGGGTTGGTGCTTGTGTATATTTTACAATTTCGGCGAACTTGATGCTCGCCTGGTACATCGACTGGTATCGACAAAGCGGCACGTACCGCGAGCACCTGGCCTGAACTGCCTTTCGTTGGGTTTTACGGGGCCTGCACGAGGCCCTGAGGCAGGCGTGCATGCCACTTTTGCAGGTCCCGCGGTGCTTCGCAGATCTTTCACTTTGATCTGGCGCCTTTCTTTGCAATATTTTGTCGATCTTGGCTGCTGGTATGTGTAGTCGGAGACTTGCTCCGCTTCTGCTACTTGTTGGCCAAAGATGCATGGGAGGAAGATGCGTGCCTTTGCAGCACTTAGGTGCTTGTGTTTTCCTCACACTTCCTTGTTGTAAGCTGGAGCACGAGGTTTGTAACCTACAGACGGGTTGTCTGTGGTGATTTCCAGCGAGATCTCCAAGACGAGATCGAGAAGAAGCCGCTTCGTTCCAGCCAATGGTCTGTCGAGATGTTGAGTTCTCCAGGCCGGGTTGCTATGACTGGTTTTCCTCACATCGCTGTGTCACTGTGTATAGTTGTCCCCACAAGGCTGCCGCGCTTTGGATGCGCTGCTCCAGATCTCAATCTACCTCGCCTTGGACGTGGTTCCAGTGGCTTGCTTTCTGATTTCGTATATGGCCGAAGAAAGCTTTGAGAGGCTTGGGCTGCAGGCTAATTAGGGCAGAGGGTAATGCTTTTGTCTTCTTTGCAGACCTTGCGAAGACCCGCCAGCAACACAGGAGTCCTGTGCTGCTGGCACCAGCTCTGTCTGCAGTGGAGTACAGATGGAGAAGAATAAGCATTGCCCAGAGTTCACAGTAGATATTCTTGACCGTCATGTGACCCCGTAAGGAATGCAACGGTTGCAGCATCTGCCGGCCTCTCTGGCGGCCGTTTAACTGCACGATACACAGCCAAGTCCGCCCAGTACAGATACTGTGTTGGAAGCCTGGAACTCAGGAAGCTGTATCCACGCGTTCGTTTTCTTTCTCGCCATGTGGGTCACTGACGTAGTTGCAAAATGTCGTGGCTTCGTGGCGGCATATCGTGGTGAAGCTCGCCTGGCTCCGTGCGAGTATCCAGGACCGAAGTCTTCTTGACGGTGGATTCCTGCAGCTTTCCGACTTGTCTTGTGTGTTTCGTCGTGCTGCTAGGAGAGTCACTTCAAAACTTTCAGTGGGCCGGCGAGTTCGGAGACAGGTTCGTGTGTGTGTGTGTGAGAGATTGTATGAGGGCGCAGCAAGAGATTAAGGACATCACATTTGTCACATTGCCTTGCACCCTTGGCGGACAGGCACCTGGCGAACTTGGAAGCTGCACGCTGCGTCTCCTTCGTTGAGGTCACCGAGCCGCGAAAAGACTCCAGCGGGTGAAGGTTGGATTGGTGATTGGTCTGTTTGCGGAGGACTCCTTGGATGGGCCCCCAGATCGCTGCGTCTCGCCACGCAGTGACGGTGCCGGCGGTGGGGGAGCAACCTGGCATCAGAATCGGCGGTACTCGCGTCATGCTTGGTTCTGACCTGAAATGGCGGGGGGAACTTCCGAAGGTGTCACTGGGGAACCGATCCGATCCAAGTCCACCATCCAGTGCTGCGACATCAGATGTTGCGAGAAGGTGCAAACAATCAGATTTCAATGTTGTCCATGTTGCAGTGTTTGCACTGCCAGGTTGGGTGGATCAGTACATATAGCTTCTGCAGGTGCTCTTGATGTGCAGGCCTTTACCTGGCAATTTCGTTTTGCAAAGCCTATGCTTGTGCCATCGTGCAAGGAATCCAGCTCCAGCGCGTTGCCACCCAGGCGACGCTTCAGCTTCCGTGATGCAGGCCGTGATCTTTCGATGCGCAGGTTGGACGGGCTTGCTCGCCCCCAGCGCAGAGAGACCGCCGGGCCGGGATAACTAGGGATCAAGCGCCAACCTCATGACTCGAAGAACACGATGGGGTGAAGGTCCATCGACACTGTTGCTGTCGTACTTCCGGCATGTTTGGGAACCAGAATCAGAGCGTCAAGCTCTGAAAGAGCTACTAGCCATGGCGAATGATTTGCCAGGCAGACCAGCTCAATCTCTGTATTCCGATGTGTGTATGCTTCAGCGGCACTTTGGCCTGAGACCCGGCATGTGTGTTAGTCGGCAGTGCGTTATTAGGCAGCTACCAGTACATTTCAGGTGCTGGCTCCCATCCATTGACTGATTGGTTAGTTGACGAGTTAACTATAGGTATGTACGTAACTATGTGTATGCACGTATGACTGTATGTCTGCATGAATGTGTGCAAGTAAGCTATCATGCATGCATCCAGGCATGCATGCAGGCGTGCTAGGTGCAGTATGCGTCAGTTTGTTTCCGCATCTTACAATCCACACATGCACCAGACCGTCCATCTGCCACACTACCCTAGATCATCTGTCTCCCTTGCCATGCATCTATCTTCTTCGGTAGTGCAAGCTTGCATATCGGGCCTGCGTCACTGTATGTGCCATTGGAAGACGAGGCCCTTTGCCTTCCGCATCTGCTGTGGGCCATGGCCACGGTTGCGGCGCGGGAGCGAAGCGTCGACTGTAGCAGCTTTGCAAAGGTGACCGTTGTGGTCGTAGGTTGGCAGGCCTGGTCCGGTTGCTTTGCGCAGCTTCTAGGACGATTCAGAAAACTCACACCAGATGGATCCTGAAAATCACCCGTCAAGGCGAGAAATTGGGCGCTGGTTGGAGCCGGGGTTGCCCTGATGGTAGTGACGGCTCCGTGCTTAGACGTCCGGTTTGAAACACCAGGCACACTGGCAGAAGCTATGTACAAGGTTTGTCGTCGGCAATGCGCATCAGGACCGGGCTGGACACATGTATTCATACGTTTTTTTTCCGTTGTGACTGTCGTTTTTTTTGGAGCGTGGCAGGTGGCCCACCCACCGGAGAGCGACCTTGCTTTCCTGGCGCAGGGTGCGAGAGCTAGGACATTTGTGGCAGTCGCAGGGCGTCTTGGTCAGATGCTCCCAGCTCGCACACTTGCTATTGCCAAGGTCGTGGGAGCTTTGGGTTTGGGGCTGAGTCTTGAAACATTAAAAGGGCAGATTGGCATGCATCAGCATGCTATCAATACTCCGACATCAGTTGGCATCGAGCACGAGGCCTTGCAGGCGTGGGGTGAGCAGTATTGCGGACTTCATTCTGAAGTGCAGCAGTCGATCCCTCGGCTCTGCTGGAAACTGTTTAGGGGTTGAACGCGGTGCAGCAATTTTGCCTTTGCTGAATGTTCAGTGCCACGAGGTTGAGCACTGTAACCTTCGCAGTTGTGCTCCTTCTTCAGGCCCGGAACGTTGTGCTCTTTAACAAGTTTTATTGTCGAGTCAAGCCCCATGTGAACATGTCCGCCATAATTCATGTGCAGTCAGTGCTCGCCTAATCTGGAGCACGCCCCTCATCGTCACATCGGGACAGCTAGAACAGAAGTGCAACGCCTGAATGTAGGAGGGTAGGAGTGATGGGAGCTGGCGAATGTAAACTACGGGATGAGCACAGCCATGGAAACACTGCACGTTCAACCATTGGACCATCGACTCGGATGGGTCCTCCAATGCGGAAAGTGCAGGTTCTGTCACAGCGCACGTCCAGAAGCCCTGAACTCTGAACACATCGTGTGGGGACCGTGACCGTGTAGCAGTTGGCATGAGCTGCCGAGACGCTGCTCGGACCCCCTCCTCAGAGCAGACTTTCGGATCGTAGTGCCGTAGTACGAGTGACAGAGCCTCTCTGCCATTCAGAGTACAGAGTTTGAGCTGCATCCTAGTGTGTTGCCGCCGGATGACAGACACTCATCCCAATGGGCCACCCAGGAGTCACTTGCCTGTCCCTGGGTGGTAAATGCTCTCGGCAACGGGTGAAGTCTGGAAGGCTCAAGTGCTTTCATTGCTGGAAAAGGCTTCAGCCGCCCTGAGGGATTGGACGAGCATGGCACGAGAGGGATGCAAGGGCAACAGAGGGCTCGAGAGCAGAGATTCCAGCCGGAAACCCTAAACCCTAAACCTTAAAGCCCAAGGCCATGGAAGAAGGTGTGGTTTTGTGCCCTTCTCTAACCACTGTAGTAACCTGTGCTGCAAAGCTGGCAGGGGATCCTGCTGGCCACCCTGGGTCAATGGGCAGGCATGCTGGTTGGGAGCCTGCAGTCTGCAGCGCATTGCAGCCCCAAGCATGCCGCGACATGGCATCCGAGTCTCGTCCTTAAGGTCTGCCTCGGAATGGTGCTCGTGACCTTTCTGCGGCCACGGACTTCGGCAACGGCTGGGTCACGTCGTGCTTAGTGGCTTGACGGCTCAGGCATCGCATGGCCTACCGGGAGCGGCCTTGGGGTTGGCTGATAGGACTGAAAGCGTCTTCCGATGGCATCTGTCCGCGTGTTCGGGCACGTGAGTTGAGAGAAAGCCTTATCCTCTGTAGTGCACGGCTCAGGCGCGGAAGCTAGCTCAAGGGTATAGCAGACAAGTTGGTTGAGGCACTGGACAAGCAGCCATCGTTGGCTGCATTTTCAACAGGCCTTTGCTGAGGGGCGTTCTCCAACTTTGCTCTTCAAATACCCTTCTGCATCTCGACCGCGCTTTCTTGCAGCTTCTTGGCGATGTCGGCGACGGTCACTTATCCGTGCATCTTGCGCAGCGTGACAGCGCCTGCTTTGAAGCAAAAGGAGCAAGCGTGCACGAAACCTGAGCTGGCGCACCAAGCTGGCACAGGTCTCGAGGCAGCATCACATGACGAAGCTGTCAAAGGGTGGATGATCAACACCCCTTCGACGATTTGCCCGACACCTCGCACACCGGCATCCCCACCGTTTTTGGCATTGCCAGCCTCAGCCGCGGACATCCGAGAGTCAAGTTTGACTTCTGAGGATGTGCGGCCCTTCTGGATGGAAATGGCAGAGGGCGATGAAGGTGTCACTCCTTTTGATGAGCCGTTGACAGGGAAGCTTGGGCGGGCTCCGTCATGTTCCTGAGCTAGCAGCTAGCAAGACTGTTGTTCGGTCCTGTGTGCACGCAGAACTTGCTCAAAACCCGTCTGTCAGTACATAACCATTCCATCGACTCAGGCGACTCAGGGACCGGCCAGGCTTTCAGTAGCCTTGGCCTTCCCGCTTGGGTCTTCGACAGCAGCCCTCAGCGAAGGGACGACTTCAGTCCGTCTCCACGGTCCCTTCGTCACTTGGCGTTGCCAAGTTTGCTTCTCACTGCCCTATTCAGTAGCTGACGCTGTCGCTGTTCTGCGCCTTGTGCAGGGTGTCTCGTCAGGTGACTCCTCCGTGTCCAGCTCGCCAAGTTCTCCGGCATTGAGCTGCTTCGAAACGCCTCCACCGGCATCGGCGAGGCCGAGGTCGCCGCCACCCAAGAACCGCCGCGACCGCGGCGTGTCCTGGGCCGACCTGGCCGAGCAGGCACCAAAGGGCACCAAAGGGGCCAAAGGGGAGGGAAGGGTGGGGGAAACCCAGCGGGTCTATTCAACTCCAGCATGCGTTTGACTCCAGGAAGAGGAGGAAAGTCTGCACATGGCTGCATCCAGCCGACAACCAGCCCGGGTAAACTGGGCAGACTTGCAAGATGACGCGGTAGAGGTGTCGTGGCAGTGGAAATAGCCGGAGGGATGCAATAGGTCGTGAAGGATGAAGCGGGACACGCGAAAGAAGAGAGATTAGGGACCAGTTGAGACTTTCACTTGATGTCAGCTTGAGTCCACTTATTTCCGCTGTCCCGCTTCGTCCAAGACGTCCCCACAAAATCTAAAGCAGCAAGCAACTGTGTAGCTAGTTTGACGGCTGTTTGCGAATTGTGTATGTCTCACCATCACGCTTCCAGGGTGTAGCCGCTGCCTGAAGCGAATCTGATATCGACCAGCGGTTCACGAGCATGGAGGTGTTTGACGAGTAAAGGGGTCTTTTGCGTCAGGCGATTTATTGATAACAACACAAGTACGACACCAGCACGGTTCCTTGTGAATTCATGTTTCAGTTCGGACACTTCGCCGAGCCTTGGCCATTTCCGTTGCCAGCTTGCTGAAGCCTGTGTGCAGCGCCAGTACAGGTTTTTTTTGCAGCTGGCCTGTTCTGGTATGCGACAGCATCTACATAACCTTGCTCGTGTGCTGGTTTCTACTCGGACGCGGAGCTCAGTTCGCGATCCTTGCTCTTTCCAAAAGTAATTGCATTGTGAACCGAGCACATGCAAGGAAGATGCTGGTTGCATATCAGAGCATTCACGGTGTTCGCGAAGAGGTTCATCATTTTAAGAGGCAGGTACACTCTGGGAAGCCCTGCATCCTGAAGGTACAGCATGGACGTTCAGTCAGCCCACTGCTTACCGGCTTCTGCCCGGTTGCTGACACAGGGTTGCGAGCGTGTTGCTATGAGTAGTGGGCTTGTTGCTTATGAGTCTATTGACTTCAATGTACAGAACTTGTGAGGTGATGTTGTGAGTTTCTCCCGAGACCTCTGCTTCCGGACCTGTTCTCGACTAAAACTCCGATGCAGCATGGTGAGGCAGTCTTTTCGATCAGGTTCCGGAGCGGCGATCGGGCCTTCACTGGCTAGAGCCCTTTGTATGGGCCGAGGGTGTGTTGTGGCATTTCTGGCACGGCAGAGCTGTTGCACACTTCTTGAGTGCAGCTTTGCTGAGCAGTCCGTTGCACCAATGGCACCTGGCAAGAGAAGCCGGCTACAGCAATTCGCGAGTGCCTGTGACAACATGTGGGATTTCATGCTGAGTCCGCCGTTATGGGCCTGGTGGCCTACGTACGCTGGGCAAAGCCGCGAAATGAGCCTTCAGCAGTATTTCAGCCTTGGCACGGCGGCATTCAGCGCTTCAGTTGTCACTCGCCAGATCCCGACATCTCGATCCGCAGTTCGGTTTCTCCAGTATGCCCGTGTGCTAAGAGTTACAATGTTGCCACAAAGCGACAGAAGGACCTTGGAGGTCAGGGGTGTAGCTGTGCAGAAAACCCAGCTATCTTCTGCTCCTGGGCCAATCATTTTTGTACAGCCTCCTGTATAGAGCCCAAAGACCAGCCGGTGTAGGATTGAGCCGTGAGGGAAGAAGCGAAATGCCTTGTGCCTGTTGGCCTGTGATCCAACTGATGGTGGCTACCGATGCTGGACGCATTTCGGGCAGGAGTATTGCTGGGGTTTGCACACGGCGTCGTGGCAACGGTACTGAACGCCGGGCTGGGACCCCGCACCGAAAAGCTATGGATGTAAAGAAGTGAGCCTCCTGAAAGCCGAGTGTGGAAGGTTGGGCCAGCGATGGGGAGTCATGACCTTCATGTTCGCTCTCGCTCACCAGCCGTTGCCTCAATGCCAGTCCTTCTAGTTGGGGACACTATGGCACGGGCGCTGCAAGCAGGTGATGCAGGTGTTGTCAGTGCAGCTCGCAAAGATTGCAAGCACAAGAGCAAGTCCTTCGGCCGCATTGCGCTGTGAGGCTTGGCTTGAGCCGACACAATCCGCGCGGTTCTGGCCCCGGAGTTTGCCAGTTTATTTTGGCAGGGAATCAGCGAGAAGCGTGCAGGCTTCAACTTGGCTCGCTTCACGGCAGTACTCCTAAACGGCGTGCTGGTGATCGTCGCCACTGGCTTGGCGCGTGTGCTGCAACTCGTTGGTGATGCGTCTTTGTTTCCCGTCGCATTCGTTCATTGCGAGGTTGGTGTCGTCGTTCTGTCCATCGTCTTTCCTGCTACTTCCAGAGGGCCAAGCCTGAACGGAATGCGTTCGAACTAGCCCACCATGCCAGGCGACTCAAAACGCTGACAGCAACTGGTCTGCGTTTTGCACGGAAGGGGATGCCACCTGCAAGTACTACGAGGTTCAGGAAGTGTCGAAAGTGGCATCGCCGACCGGTGTCGTGCCATCCAGCTGACAGGTGCCACTCTATGCTTCCAATATGTCACTGCCGCTGGAATGCGACCGACACTTCGGATATGGTAAGGATGGGCGCGCTGCCTAGATCTGCTTTGAAGGAAAGGGAGCCGCGGGCACCACAGACAAAGTCAGACAGGCAACATTTGCTGAGTGTCAGCGACTTCGCCTTGTTCTCGGCCTTGGCCTACGAGTCTGAGGCCGGGGCGGCCGGGTGGCCTCTTGACTCGCTTGACTGTCCGTGATACTCTGTGTACGTACAGTATGTCTAAGGATGGGCTGCGCAAAGGCCTGCAACGCTGCCATCCCAGTCGCAGCACAGTGAATTCGATCCGCCGTCTCTTCATGCACATGACTAACACATGGGCAGGGTGCGTGTCTCCCTCTGAGGATATTTTCCTGGATGGTCCACGATCACCTCGCGCCGTGCAGGCTCTGTCGAAACAGCGCAACGAGCATTCATCATTGTCCGTCTTTGTTGTTGTGTTTTCGTGAGGTGTCAATGCGACAAATCTGGAGGGAGAAACCTCTGACTGGACTGGGTGCTGGCCGGGGTGGCAGGGATCCTGCAGATTCGGATCTTCTTATGCAAGCAGCACGACACAGCTTGGAATGCAGCCGTTTCTGATTCGAGCTGCATCGGGTCCGTGGGCAGCTTGCAAGGCGAGGACATCCACACATTCGAATCTGCTGGTCTGGTCCTTTGGTTTCGGGGTGGTTCGAGAGCAGTTCGCCTGCCTGGAGTGCCATTGCGTTCGACATGCAGTATACCTTCGATGCGAGACCCGCAGAACATCAAGCAGCAAGTAAGTGTGTCATGTCATGTCATTTCATTGCATGTTTGTGCCAGGTCATGGATGCCGATCCCTGCGTCCACCCTGACCGTGCATGCGATGCATTCGATGCGCGAGAGCTCAGCAACATCCAGAGCTGCCACGGCAGCGTCTGCCACGGCTGCCACGGCTGCCACGGCCACCACCTCCCCGCGAACTCCTGCGCCTTTGAGTGGATTGTTAAGTTTCAAGAACGCGTGATTCGAAGTGGGTATCCGCACTTGGATGCCTTGGTGGCCATGTCTGCATCGGGCTAGAGGTAGGGGCTTTACGCAGCTGCCTTTGGCATGAGCCGTCGTGCTGAGAGGTTGGCACTGTCTTCTTCCCCGGAGTGCCGCAGCCAATCGCTTACAGCTGCGCTCAAACAGAAGAGGCGAGGTTGGAGTAGCGGTTGGACCACAGACATTCTGGCACATTGCGGTACAGAGCGAGCTGACAGCATTGTGGACTTCCTGCGAGTGGCCCATGTGCAGAGGATCCCGATCCATTCGTTCCACTGCATTAGAGCAATGAGCTTGTGCTCCCAAGCCAGCTTCTGGCGCGATGCACTTGAGATATTCTGGCTCTTCTCGAAGGTTTCCAGCCTTCATCTCTTGGCCGCAAACTCCCAGCTTGCTGCTCTTGCAGAGGGAAGTCTGTGGCAGCTAGCTTTGCTCACTCTGCAGGCCAGGCCAGGGCAAGGCGATCACTGCAATTACATGTAGGTTCGGTCAGTTTTTCGTGCGCAGAAATGGCACCTTTTCGGCCGTCAGGAGATGCAGGATGCAAGCCTGCGGGCCACCACAGTCACCTTCAGTTCGGCAATCAATGCCTGTGCGAAAGCGGCAGCTTGGCAAAGAGCCCTGCAACTAGGCGTTGACATGGCGAGACAGAGCGTTTCGAGGCTCCTAAGACTGTCCTAAGAATTTCTCTGCGCTCTGTGCTGTTTTCCTTGTATTTTGAGCTTGGTTCCACGGCGACTTGGCAGGAATTCCATTGCCTACAATGCCATGATGACCAGCTGTGCAATGAGCTCCCAGCCTGAAGGAGTCCTGGCTGAGAGCAGCTACTGGTAGCCTGGTAGCTGGCGAGGTGCAAAGTGGGCAGAGGCATTGTCTCTATTTGCTGAGATGCTTTCCGCCGGAGTTGCGACGCTGAGCTGGCGTTTTGAGTGGTCTCAGGCATGTCACATGTCAAGCATGCATCAAAACCCTTGGTGGCTAAGGAGGACAAGCATTTCATACAATGCAGCTATTACGGCGTGTGAAAGAGCAGCTGATTGGAAGGTGGCGGTCACTTGTTCTTGCGCAGCCTTAGAAGCGTTGCTTCGCTGACTCAGGCTGCGCTGTACTTGTTCGGCCTTTGCCTTCGAAGTGGTGGAGCAGATGTGATAAGTTGCAGCGCGGCGATTAGTTCCTGCGAGAAGGCCGCTCAATGGCGCCAGGCAGGTCCTCGTCTCATTTCGTGTGGCTGGTCCCTGGAAACTTTTTTTCGGCCAGGCCCTTTGCCTGCTTGAGATCTGGCGGCGCCAGCGAGCATCGCGGGCTGTCAACCTTCCTGACAGCTTCAAGCTTGGACCAGCAAAATTGGGCGCGAAAGCTGTTGCGGTACGCATCCCATCAAGCGGCTCATGTCTGCCGCTCGCAGGACCACCTACTTCGAGTTTTGGGATCCTGAGCAGGGGGCCTGCTGCTTGCATGGAAATCGGCAGATGTTCCTTGTGCATAGGAACTCCACGATCGTGTTCGCCATTCGGGGAACCAACTCCATGCTGGATGTTCTGGTGCGGACCCACAGCTAAACTACATTCTGCGAACGGGGATGGGTATCTGTGCCCAGGACGACCTGAACATTTGGGGTCCTGCTGCAATCATGCAAGCCTTCAGCTTGGCCGGCCGAAGCCTCGTAAGCCTCGGCCGTCCTGGCTCGGTCCACTGCACATTGCTCACATTGCTGGTGATGCAGCCATTTGCAGATGCCGCTAGGCTCATGTCCCAAATCTTTTGTTGAACAAGCGCAAGGAGAGCGGAGCACTTTTGAAGCTATACCAACAAATTCCAGCGTATCAGGTTTGAGCCTTGAGCATCCCTGGCCCATGTCCCAAGCTGCGGAAGTTCCGTGTGTAGCTTTGGATTCGCTGCCCTTGGAAGGGCTCGCGCCTGTGGCGCGAAGCCGAGCCTGCACGATACAGTAGCAGTGTTCATGCACTGCGGAGCACGTTTGATGTCAGCAAGCCTGTGTGTACCCCAGGCGTCAGAGAGTGTGTGCCACACCCTAGACGCGGCTTTTGGTCCTGATGGTCTTGGTCTTATTTGTATCACCGGTGATCAGGCGGGGAAACCCCACTTAAGTGCCGAGCTAATTTGCGATGCACTTGAACTTGGATCATTCATCATTCTTTGAATTGAAAAGCCCTGGCTGCTGCCTGCGAGCTGTGGGTCCAGACATTCGGAAATTGTGAGCAACTCCTTTTGAGTAGTGATTCCTTCATGAGGGCGAAGTGACGGATGCGACGGAAATGAAGGAGGAGATGAACTTGCAAGTGACGGACATGTGCGCATGATTGAGCCGAAGCGAATCCGAAGTAACCGACACGACCACGGAAATTGAAAACGGAAATAAAACACTGCCCATCAGCCACCTGTTGAGAGCAGTCACATCCGATGCACAGGTTGCAAGTTCAGCCGCATGTGCACAGCTTCATCACCCTAAAGAAGTTTGTCGGAGTTGTAGGTGCGAGGTACGGCATTGCCACGTCTTCAGTATCAACAGAAACGGAAAGAAAGCAGAGAAGACAAGAACAACGGCAAATGAAGCCGGAAATGGTGGGCATAGCAATTGTGCAGCCAAGAGTGAGGCCGGAAAGAGTCAATGCAATCACGGACATGAAGTGGGACATGATGATGTGAACGCGGAGCTGAGTCCAAAATGAAGCGACAAATGATGGACATGCATCAGTTGTACAACCAAGACGAGTATTATAGACAATGGCAGAAGCATGCCCGTGAAAGCACAGTTGACCCATTCAAGAACTCAATAGCAAGGAAGACTTGTTGTTTTGAAAGATACGCCTGCTGGCCGGCACACGCAGACTTGACTTGTCGGTGTCAGAGCGAAGCTGGAGGACTTCCAGGCCAAAGTACGTCAGATGCGCGACGAGCTGCTTCCGCTGGCCACACGCTTGGGGAGGCTGTCTGAGGAAGCAAAGGAGCAGCTGATCGGCAGACTGGTGTAACATGTGATCAGCTTTGGAGCGCGTTAGCCTGGCAGCCATGCCAGGGGGGCATCTCCCTTGCATTCGTTCTAGCTCCTGTCGTGACAGTGAATTCAATGGTGATTTTTTCAGGATTCCATTCGTGAACGTGGGACGCTGAATGTGAACAACTACTCCCGAGGCCTATTCGAAGGGAGCTTCGGTTAAGTCATCTCCGTATTGCGGCCCGTGGCAGGCATTGATGGCAACCGAACGGGTTTCTACTTCCACCCAGCATTGGACAATCCGGCAGATTGCCTGCCGCCAGATGTGCCCGCTGAACCGACCTTCTACACACCGAACCTGTGGCCCGACACGGACAGAGACTGCGCCGCACACGCTGCCACTCCCCTTTGCTGCCCGTGCCTGGGCCCCACTCGCAGGAGCTGCCGGAGCTGCGGCACCAGGCGCGCGCTGCGGCCCCGTGGCTGGTTTCAGTGGGCCGGCGCTTAGCGGCGGCTGTGGACGAGCGCTGTGCCAAGGCAGGGCAGGAGCGAAGCTTCGGGTCAGCGTGTCTCTGGAGTCACAGCCCTTTCGGCCCGGTAGCTGAGAATTGAACGTAACTTCGCTGCTGCCCTGCCCCAGGCAGTTGCAGGCTACCGGCCGGGTACTTTGACGCGGCTCATTGGCCCGGTGCAAAACTGCAACCATAAATGTCGGCTGATATGCTATCATGATACTTAGCTTGAAACCGATGATTGTGTCAGCGTAGAGCTTGCGACCAGTGGGACCGATCGGACTGAGGACTTTGTGACCGCCGAGCAGCGTGCGGCATCCAAGGGCATGTGGGCACCCCCGCACAAGGACCCTCCGGAATGCTCTGTGCGATTCTCGAGGTTTCTAGCATTGTCCAGGCGTGGTTGCTCTCAGCGTAGTCGCGAGGACACGGGTCTTCTCACGGTCCTTGTGCCTGGCGTCTTTCTAGATCAGTCTGGTCAGAGACTGCAGCAGTCTCCGGATCCGGAGGTTGGCCTATATGTGCGTGACAGGACCGGGTTTTCGCCAGGGGTTGCACACCAAAAAAGTCGGGGCTCGACATGCGTGGAGACAGAAACCCTGTGTGGGAGGAAGGGTCGCATCATGCAGATCCGCATGCCTGCCGGAGTTGGTGAAGGTCTTTTCTTTCAGGTGGGCGAAGCGCTGCAAGTGGTGTCTGGCGGCCATTACCATGCCACGGAGCATCTTCGCTTCAACAGACTTCAACACACAGCAGGTGCAATGTGACAGTCTGGAAGAGAGATGATACATGAGATGAGAGATGAGAGATGAGATGAGATGAGGCACTGCGTCCGCGGGCCAGCGCAGGCGTGCAGAGGCTCGATGCTGGGGCCGCGTTAGACGCTTACAGCAGATGCCATGAAAGCAGGCTCTTAAAGAGTTTAAAAAGTGGTTCTGGTTGGTGGAAAGACTTGTCAGGTCCTAACTATGTCAAAGTTAGGTTACAAGGGGGAGCGCCCGTTTGTTATTTAACAGAAGAAGGCGGTGGCGAGATTGATTTCAGGGGGCACGACGCTTCACGTACCCGCACCTTTTCATCCCCTCATCCCCTGCTTCGTTTTGCAGAGCACTGCTCCAAGATGTGCCAGTCGATCTGATTTAGCACTTCACCTGAACCGGTGACAGGCTTGAGTGCCGCACACTGCAGCAATGGTTTCAGTCTAGGCTAGCGACACCAGGACTCTCCGTGCAGCTTTGTCTCTAGAAATGCAACCTCTGCAAGTCGGAGTCTAAGTGCCCATGGTTCGACTTGCGGTTTGGGGTCCAGCTGTCACCTGAAGCCGAGCATGCAAGGAATATAATCAAAGGCATCCAAACTTCCCCTCTCAAGTTTGCATGCCCGAACATGCGGGATGAAGCTTGCGCAGGTTATGAGCGTGCCTCCTTGGCGATTTTCCTGCAACCCCATGCGCATGAGGCCAGGATGGCCAGGCTGAGCGGGACAAGGATTGACACAAAGCCAGACCGTTCAGGAATTGCCTATACCAGAAAGCAGCTCTATGCAGCAGGCCGCATCCCGAACTGTAGGCTGACGCACGGGAGCAGAAGTGCGGACAGACTGCAAGGTAGGGTTTGAGCAGGTCTGAAAGGACTGTTGCGAGGCGAATCTCACGGTTTACGTTGAAAGTCCTGTGCCGGTGCCGGCATGAGGTTGCAGATCGTGCATATGATGGACTCTTCAGGACGGGACACTGCTCCGTGCTCGTTTTTTCTCAAAGTTTGCCATGCAAGCAGATACAGGATGTTCTTGCTCTACCAGCCATCCGACGCCAAAGGAATCAATTTCCTCCGTTTCTGTCAGCGTGAAGGCTTCTGAGTAAAACGTGCGAGACTGCAACAGACTTCAATCCTTGTCGGCTTGGAATCCTAGCACATGGTGCACTTGCGGCATCCGCGATCGTTGCTCTGAGGTCCTTCCCTCTCCAGTGCAGTGGCCGAGGTTCTACAACACGAAACACGCTGAAACACCATAAAACAGCTCCATGGTTAGCCTTGCTTTTTTGTGCAGTCCGTGGCGCTGCTGTCCACGGTGATGTATGGCGAAAGCATGCAGAAGCAGCGCCTGGCCTCAGTCTCTCCACGGAGATCGAGTGATTTGGTTCGCGACTCGCTGTTCCATTTGCCATTCAAGCAGCTTCCCAGGTACTTCTCCAACTTGCTGGCACATGTTCGGAGTCGCACGACTCAGCTCCCAGACAGGCCATGTGCTTTGATGCGCAGGGTTTGCAGTGATGCGGGTCGCACTGTTGTGAACGCAGGAGGTTCTACATCACAGGCCACTCCTTGGGCGGAGGTTTAGCAAAACTCGTTGCCGCCAAGACCCACATGCAGGCACGTGCTTCCCTGCAAAACATCGCCGTGCAATCACGCTGCCGTTCTGTTGGGAGGCCGTGACCTTCATGGCTCCGGGTCTTGGCACCACAAGCTACGTCGTGTACAGGGAGCACCTGCTCGAGGAGAGCGGCGGGTGGTGCCCAAGCAACCCAGCCGGCCGCCGGCCCGTCGCTTCCACTCTTGTCAGGATCTTCGACATATCGCGCTAACAATCATGCCCGAGAACGACGTGGTGTCAAGGGCGCTCGTGCTGGACATCCTATGCTGGCAGATCATGTTGCAAACCCTGCAGGTGGACACACAGACCGGCATCACCGTCAAGACTGACTGCGATGGAAACCCACTGCATTGCTAGAAAGCCTAGTTGTCAAAGAAGAACACCAAGCCGAGCAGGCTCTGGAGACTCTTCAACTGTTTGTGACGAAGGTCACCAGCTATATCCCACAATCTGCACTCTGCTGCAGACTTGTGGGTTCCGAGCTCAAGCTGCAAAGCTCCGCTCAAGACGGCGCTTGCAAGCGTTTGGATGATGTGCATCGTGCGTGTTCAGGTCTGGCAGAGCTGGGGATGCTGCTTTGGCGCTTCCCTGCGGTGCGTCAGCCTCCCAGACTCTCGAAGAGTCTCCCAGAGCTCGCTTTGCTGTCGCGGCTGAGGTGCGACAACATGCCATGTCCATCGGCACACCTCAGACCTCGCAAGGCATCGCCATAGCCAGCCATTCCCATGATTGAGTCGGCAAGCATTCGCTCGAGCCAAACCCGCCAAAGTGCTCGCACCTCTCTCCAACCTCGCTCCGGAGCGATGCTCGAGCTTCGAGTGTCCTGTCGCATCCCTTCTGGGGTCTCGTGGAAGCTCCGCCACTTTGCTGTCTGTGGGATGTGCAATTTGTTTTGCATGATGTCATTTGCATCTTGGCGCTACTGAATCCTGAAGAAAGGCATCTTAGAGCAACGCCAGTCCTTGCTTGCAGCTCGGGAAGCCAACAAGCCGTCTGCTTCGAGTCGAAGACCCGGCAGCAAGTGTCCTGCGCAGCGTCTGGCGTCTGGCGGCGCCTGTCTCGATTTGGTCCGCCTCCTACGGGGTCCTCTCCCTGTTTATTAGCTCTCGTGCAGCCTTGGATCTTTTGTCTTGCGTTGCCACGCGGAAGCTGTCAGACTTCGCTGCCGGGGCCGGGATGTTCTTGCAGGAGCACCTACGCTTCGTTTCAGTTTCCATGCTGTCATGTAGCTGTTTCTCTCAGAGCATTGCTAAGTTGCAACATATTAACTGCGCATCTTCCCGCATGGACACAGAGCGGACTGCAAGTTTACCCTGGCTGAAATCAAAGCTTTGCTGGCAGCAGCACAATGCACTCTGTATTCTCCAGTTCCACGTCAGAATAGACCTGACAAGACGAGGTCTTCCCGGAGCCGTTATTTCAGATCCCTTTGAAGCAGAAAACAGTTGCAGCAAACGTAGGTTTTCCGAACCATGGAGAACCTGCCTGCTGCGATTCGACAGCTGGTTGACGGAGCTCCAGCATCGAAGCGACAGAAAAGGGAGTCGGCTGGTGAAGCTGCAACCCCTTTTGGGGGTCCAGTTTCCAGTTTGTCGGCGGGACCCATGGCATCGATATCTCAAGCGGATGCCATGGCAACGCTGTTGGCCATGACGAGCGGTGGTGCTGGTGGGATGCCTGGCATGGCCATGGCCCCCACGTTTCCCATGTCCCCACACATGACGGGACTGGCCGGTATGGCTCCGTCTATGCCGTCCACGCAGATGGCTGCTCCAAGACCTGGACCTGTGCAGCGGTCGGCGCGGGCCGCAGCTGGGCCCGTGCCCGGTGTCATCGCCAAGCCGGCTGTGCGTGCAGCAGTCCCAGCAGACCCTAGAAGCCCCACAGAGATCAAAGAGGAGCTGTTCCGGCAAGGCATCGATGTGAAGGGCTTAACGTCTACACGAGAGATGCAGAACAAGCTACATGAGACGGAGGCGAATGTCCAGCGAGCAGAGGCTACCAAGCGGCTCGATCGCCACCCTGACCAGAAGCTCCTCTCTTGCTTCACCGAAGGCCTGGCACCGGGGCAGGATGCGATGCTGAAAATGCTAGAGGCTGGCTCAGATCCCAACACGGTGTCAGAAGGAAGTGGGAGTGGCTTCGCGGTCGGGATGACTCCTCTGCTTGCAGCTGCCAGCTGGGGGAAGGTGGACGAGGTGCGGTTGCTCATCGCAGCCGGAGCGGACCTCCGGGTACGGACGCCCAACATGAACCAGACGGCGATGCACCTCGTGGCCGGCGGCAACATCGAGTCCTGGGGCGTCGAGAAGACCATGGGCCTCCTACGCCTTTTGGTCCATAAGGTGGTCACATGTCACTAGCGGGCGGGGTGTAGAGGAGACAAAGTCCCGCACAAGGGGAGGGCAACAGTGGTAAAACTGCGAGAACCGTAGGCCTGAACTGCAGACACCGTCCGGTTGATTAGGTGGAATCGGCGACAGCACGAAAATCCGTGTTGCCCAGGAACTGTCACTGAGTTCCTAGGACCTAGGATGGGAGGGAGTCTTGCCATAGGGAGCAGATGTTGGGCACCTTGCAGGCTCCTGAACTGCTGGCGGAGAAGAACGCCTTGGGCAAGACTCCGCTGGATTGTGCAAAATACGAGAAGAAGCGCCAGCAAGCGGCCTACCTGGCGAGCCTTCCGCGTTGAAGCAAAGCTTGCACTTGGCCGTTCCTCCTTCAGATCCGAAGACTTCGGTCATGCCAGAGACAACCACTGAAGCAGAGAGAAAAGGATTTGAAGTTGCGACTCCCCGACTCGTGCCTCAGTCTTCCGCACCACTCGATGTCCTTGCAGACTCATGAGAGAGCTTAGGTAAGCCTCATGCATGAAACAGTGTCTAGCAAGGAAGTTTGCTCCAGCTTGTTGTTGCCTGCTTGCCCTGCACGTTCAGAGGACTTGTCTGACTTTGCTGGGCGCTGTGGGGTCGGGTTCGTACTGCAGGGGTCGGCCCAGCTCTCAAGCGGCATGCTTCAACAGTCGTGACAATCAAACTTGCCCTCGTCAACACAAACGCAGTTTTGGCTCTTTTTTCAAACATGGCGTGAGGGAGTTGCGAACTCAGTCCCTAGCGCCCCTGGAAGGGAAGGTACGGCAAAAGGAACTGTATTCCTGAAATCAAACCGGTCTTGCAAGGGGGCAAGGGTAACCCGCGGCTCCGAGCAGCCGAAAGAAGGTCTACCGAACATTCCCGCAAGCTTCTCAAAGAGTCTCACAGCTGCTTGGCAGAGGCCTACAGGCTTAGATCATGACCCTCACCAAGGTGGTCTCTAACCTCTACAAGCAGCATGCATCTAGCTATCGCTGCTCAAGTGTGACAGTGTGACCACTCCGAAAGCTCTAGGCTACAGGCTATAAGTTGCTTGACGTGACATGACCTAGCGAATCTGGGCAGAAGAGAAGGCTTCGCCTGAGTGGACCCTTTCGAACAGTCCCAAGTCCCTTGAATTCAGTCCAGAACTGTGCCTTGCCTGGTTTGCAAGCAGCTTGTTTGTTAGGCGGAGAGAGTCCGGGAGGTCCTGAACTTGCGATCTTTCTGCCTACTGGCATGGGCCGCGAAACACATTGGGTCTCGTGGGATGGATGCATCAATGTGATATATGTCGAACATGCAAGTCTTAGGCAACTGGAATGGCATGCCACTTGAAGCAATCACCAAATATCTTTGTCAACTTGTGCTCTGTCCATCGCCGTGATCTTTCGTTCAGCACGGTGCATTTTGCGGTCAGGAATCATCGTAGTATTTTCACGTCGAAGGAGCACAGCGCAGCGCTTCGGACTCTGTCGTTTCAGGACTGGCAGAATTTGTTGGCTGTCTGTGATGCCAACCTGGCCAAAGGATTACAAGCAAGAGCTTTGGGAAAAGATGCACTTTGTAAATTGTTTGCAATGCAGCCTCACATCTGTTCCACATTCCTACGGTCCTACGACATTCGACAACTTGTCAGGTGTCCTGAGAGCCGGCGCGGGAAAGTGTTGCCCCTCCGAAAACCAAGCCCGTGCATTGCACATGCACTGCTCATGCAACCAGAGCCAGATTTGCAGGCTCCTGGGTCTGGGTGGGATTTTAGCCCACCTGTCTTTGAGGGCCAGGGTTTGCCCAAAAAAGGGTGTGCAGCCCACTTTATATTCCTGCGACGGCTCCAGGATTTGACTCGTTAGGACCGGTGGGAATCTCGGATCACTCACGGCAGCCAGTGTGAGTGTGCTGGATGCGATGTGGCTTCCATGTGGGGGCCTGGCTTCAACGTTTCTCGAGAGCTGCTCTTGGCGGTCCGCCAGAGCAACCAGCAGCGAGTGCTTCATCTCGTGGAGGGCCTCGTGGGAGCCCTGCGGCAACAGCGAGAGGCTCGGGGCGAAAGCGGCTGTCCGCTCGGCGGCAATGAAGAAATGCTTCGATGCTTTGCTTCTCGTGACTTCGGGAGGCGAAAGCAGCCTGGTCAGCAGAGACCTTCGGCACATCCTTGTGGGATTTTGCTTGTGCAGTCCAACGCTTGTCGCGGCTGCCACTGGGTGAGCACGAAAAAGCCTTCTGGACGGAAGTGACGCATGCTTCTTGGCACGCATTTGGGTGATTGCTTCTGCTGTAGTGGAGCATTGCTGTCACCACGTGCCATGAGCTCTCAGGTCATACGACAAACTCAGGTTTCATTGCAGCCTCGTGACTTGAAGAAACCTCTGGAAGGGCAGCACACAGTGGGTTCCTGGGTTCCTTGTAGCGGCAGCTGCAATGTGGCATACATCGTCGAATAGGGCGAGCAGCCAAGTTCACAAGAATGGCGTAGAAGTCTCCGAGCTGTCCAAAGGTGAGCGCAGTCGAACGGGGCCGAGTGGCTTGCCTGAGGTGAGCTGGCGCTCTTTTGCAACGCGCTGGCGTCATCGCCGACGGTGGAACCTGCACAGCTGCTCCTCAAGCGGGCAGTTGAACTTCAAGCGGCCCCTTGGCGACAGCCGGCAAGGCAAGTCTATCCGTCGGTCCATTGCCTGGAATCGGAAGGAAATGACTGCCAAAGACCTCCAGATGGTGCTGCACGGTCTTTCTCACTGTGCGAATGGCGAGCATCCAGGCTTTCCCGACCAAGCATCCCGAGAAAGCCTGGCAGCCACTGTGCTGAAGGCAGGGCCTTTTCAAGCAGCTGCAGCCAAGGCTTTCTCTGTTTGGCAGGTTCGGTTGGACAAGGATCATCCGGTGCAAGCAGCGCAGCTCTTGGCTGCTTTCGTCAGGCAGGGTTTGTTACTGGAAACTTGACGCTTCGTGTTGAGCGCCCCTCCCCTCTGCTCTGTTTCGGAGTTGAGACTCAGCTGTCTTGACACGCTCAATTCACCATTGTCTTCGGAGCATTGAGGGTGAAAAAAAAGCTGACGTTATGCTAGAGTATGGAATCTGGGAAAGCATCGGAATTCGGCTGAGAGGTTGCGCCACGACAATGATGCCGTGCTTTCAAAGCACCTTTTCGACCACGCAGTTGACACACTTCCCGGATGTGATGTGCAGTCCTTGACTGTCCTCTGCACGGCAATTGCGGGAAGTCGTCGTGTAGCAAGAGCATCGATTGAACTGGCCGAGGGATCCGAGGAAGCTTGGCAGGCGATTGTTTCGAGATTGGTCGAACTTCTGCCAAAAGCCAAGTCATGGCAGCTTGCATCTCTGGCCCGAGCGCTCAAAAAAGTCGGTGCCTCGCCAAGCAGCGTGGAGCCTTTTTATGATGGGATGGAACAGTTACTGACTTCGACAGACCGCTCGGACTCCTTTTCGCCGGCTGACTTGACTTTCGTCGTGAACGGTTTGGCGCAGCAGAGGTGCCTGCAGCTGCGCAGGCCGGATGCTGAAACCATGAGCTTAGACAGACAGCCTCTCACCTCCTGGGCTTTTGAAGAGCAAATTGGGCGCAAGCTACATGCTTTCACCTCATCAGAGCTCGCCGTGGTCCTGCATGCAGCAATGCGACTGAGCGACTAGGAGTGGATTATCCGTTTCCTTTTTTGTTCACTAGCTGCTAGGATGTGCTGGGAGTGATGTGGCTGTGCGGCGTAATCAGTTGCCTCGATCGGGAACAGGAATGCAGAAACAAAAACGCTCGTTCACAGGTTCTGGAAGGGCACGGGGTCACGGGGTAGCGAGGGCTTCAGGCCATGGCAGATAGATTTCAAGGCATGGGAACGATGCTCAAGCGCCCCAGCACAAGGACGTGGGGGTCCTGATTTCTTCGATATGGTCTTGCCGAAGCTCTTAGAGTCCAAGGACCTCACAGCCAAGCAGGCGCAGCGATGCGCAGCGTAGAGCGACTTTTCTCGCCCTTCGGCCCTTCCCTTTTCCCTTGCTTCGCTTTGCTGCGCTTTGCTTCGCTTGGCTCAGCTGGCGCACTCCTTCAGCGCGTCGGCAGCGGCCGGCCTTTTCTTGGCGGACCTCACGAGACCGATGCGGCTGTTTCTGGCCTTACAAGGCATGTTAGAGGTGCTGTTGTTCTTGTATTGTATGACTCTGGCTCCCGCGAGCTGTGGTGGAAACTCTGAAAAGAGGACGGTCGGAAGCACACCCAAGTCGATTGAAGATCAGAGGCGGACAACGCCCAAATCAGAGCGAGGAGTTGCGAAGGGTTGTGATCTATAGTGTGAGTGTCAAGGCCAAGGTATTCTGACACTCGTGAGACCGGATCTTTGCTGAAGGACACCCAATCCGCAAGCACGCACATCCTAGTACGCATCTCCCCCAATCTGACCTGTTCCGAAGCTGACACGGCTGCGATCCGATGCTGACCCTGTTTCGATACTCGTAAGATCTTATGAGATCTTCTGAGCAACAACCTCGGTGCTCCCACGATGTTCTGAGGCTGCGCCAGTTGCTTCCAGCGTGTGCAATGCTGGGTCCTTCGCTCACTCCGTGGCAGCTGGCCTCAAAGCCCAGGGCTTCACTTTGCACAGTCTCCGCTCGGTTTTCCACATTAGACACAAGATGCTGCACGCGCAAATGGTGACTTTTTGCCTGGAGGCAGCTAGCCTACGTGGCACAAGCCTTGGATGTTCTTGCTGCGCTGCGCCAGAGAGGTCTCCGAGGGCCATACCTTTGGCCGGACGACGTCCAGGCAGGATGCCTGCTGCTTGTACAAAAGAGCAAACCAGTATGTTGCTCTGCGCTCAAAGAACGCGCATCCCCTGAGTCATGTTCGCAGGCTTCTGCAACAGTCGATGCTCTCTGTGCTCGCGCAAAGGAGGTGCCCCGCACATGACCTGTGACGCAGTCCTTCATGCCACAGCTTTGGCAGTGGCTCCGGCAGTACTTCGGATCGTGGAAGTTGGTCGCGAGTTCAGCTTTCGGGTCTCGTGTAGACAGAATCAGGCAGGGAATCTGCGTCAATGGATGATGGAGGTGTATCCGGTTCAGTGGAAGAAGCGACTGCAATCAAGAGCGGAGACGAGCGATCTGTGTTTCCGTGCATTTCCGGAGGTAGTGAAGGATGAGCAGAAATGCTACGAAATTCGTGAGATGCTGCGCAGAAGTGGCATGGAGCACGCCCGCATACGTGTTCTAAAAGGCGTGTGGACTCAGTGCCATCTTTCACCCTGCACGCCGCATTTGTCGATGCTTTTCGCTAGATTCTCCTTCTGCTCGCGGAATCCATGCGTCAAGACATGTCGGAAGAAGTGACATAGCTTGCCATGTGAGCAAATCCAAGACGAACGGAAGCACCAGTGCATGACTCGATTCTGTAAGTTCCCTTTCAACTTGACTACGCCATTGAGTTGAGCCTCACGAACCCAGGTAGTGGGTTAGATAGAGCTTGACAACCGCCAGTTGCCCTGTGCTCGCAGAGCTGCTGAAAGGCCCGAGCTCGACGGTTCGACAGCTTGCCGAACATGTTGTGAGGACAAAGGCGTGTCCGAACATGCAGGTAACAGCAATGCCAGCAGCAGAACCTGGGGGCTTCAATGCGGTTTCAATGTCAACTGAGATGCCGGCGTCTTGGATTGTCCTGCATGCATTGAACACATGCCGCACAATCGGGGGAGAGGCCAGACAGGCCACGAATGGCTGGGACAGAAGGCCATGGAGGCAATGTGCTTGCCTTAGTTTTCTGGCGTTTCGTGACAGCTAGCCCTGTTGGTGCAGCGACCCCATAAGGATCCAGCGTCTCAGAACCGCTTGGTGCAGATGCTGCAGTACTGGTCTCAGATCCAGAGAATGGTGGCAGTCTCTTCCGTTGCTTGATTCGGCTCCTTCGGAGGACAGCTGCACACCCCGTCACCTGTGTCTTTCACGCAGCCTTCAAGATTGCCGGTGGCTTACTTTGCAGGAAGTCTCTCGTGTCACCACAAGCTTCTGTGGAACCTCGTAGCCCGCAGCTCTCCTGGCCAATGGCGAATGTGGCAAACAACTCCAGAGCAGTGGAGATGCTTGTGTCTTTGCTATGTCTGTGAAGGTGGTAATTCTGATCTACATCTATGGTCGATACATCCACAGTGCTTATGCGACGCCCTCAGCTGTTGCAGATATCAGAAGCGGATCCCGTCAGAGCTTTGTGTGCAAGCAAGGTCTCCACTTTCATTTTGTGTACCATTTTTGCTGCACTGGACTTCTGGACGGCAGAAGTCTCAGTATCAGAAGTGCTCAAGTCGAAGTTCGTGGCCGGTTCAGAACTCGCAGGTGAAAAACATCTCTGGCCGTCTACTTGTAGGTGGTCCGCGATTCGACTGAGAGTCTTGCAGTTTCAACCTGTGCCAACCAGGACTGCGATGGTGGAATTTAGTCAAGGACGATGGCTCCTCGGAGTGGGTCCGGCACATACCGATTTCAGGTTTGTGAATGCGCTCTGGAAATCTTCCGGACTTGAGGTGTTTGAGTCGAACCCAGACGAGGGCAACTTGAACGCCACGGCCCGGGGCTCGAGGTTCCAAAGTGCCTTTAGGCCTGAGGCCCGGGGGCAGGCAAGAGCAACATCCCAGCCTCGAACCTTTACCGCAATTGCAGAAACAGTTCAGGGCTTGTAGTGACACACAGAGCACAAGGGTAACGCTCTTGGAACAAAAAGCACCTGCCCCCTTATGTTTCAACTTCTTTAGAGGGCTCGTGCCTTGACGCATCCTTCTGCCCAGGACCGCAACATCTTCTGGGGTGTGACATACATTTGGCCCCTGCCTGGAACTCAGTCTTCTGCAGCTCTCAGGGGCACCGGTCTGTAAGCCTGCAGGCTGTGGGCGATATTTCTCTTCATGAACATTCTGAATTTCAGTCTAGCATACCCCTCAGCTTGTTTGCAAGTCGCACAGATGCTGACGATCAATCGTTCAACACTTCTCAAGACATCAAGGATTGGGTTCTCCTGAATATCATGATCTTCATTTTCGCAGGTACGAACCTGGCTGGGTGCCCCGTTTGCCGACCAAATCATCATCGGCCTCCAGCATAGTGTGGATGGAATTTCCGCGGCAGGTACTGGAAATGCTCGACCGATGCCAAGAAGCGGGCGCAGCAGTGGGTGGAGCTTGGTCCTTGGAGAAAGGCAGACTGGCTTACTGTACTTTGCTCGCAGTTCGGTTTGTTCTGAGGAGTCAAGGAATGAGGGCAGTCGCCGGTGCCATGGGATTCGCTTGAGTAAAGGCGGAGTCAAAGAGTGCCGAGTGATGCAATCCCTTGACCACGATGTTAGAAGCCACTCAGGGATTCGGCAAGCTTCATATAATGCATGCAAACCTCATGCTGCACCACCCAGTTGCTCAGATCAATGTGCCGGAATTGAACGTTCCGTTTTGTCTCGACCGTCAGACCAACATCCTTCAATGGCATGCAGCGTTGCTGCTCAAAAAGTCTGAGTGGCCTAGATATGACTTCACGAGTGCTAGTAATGATCTCACGAGCCCTGAAGATCCGCCACGACCCCCGTAGCAGCCCTAGAAGCTTCCTGTACGCCCTGCGATGCTACTAGTACATCACAGACTGATCACAGAGACCCCTATGACACGGGCCAGCACTCCAGTGCCTTGCAATCGCAAGGGTGTTCGCACCCATAGGCAATCAATCAATCAATCAATCAATCACAGAGTCCATACAGCTTGCCTTTGGCGATGGGCTACCCGGTTCAGGCGGGTGTTTCAGCTAGCCCATGGGCCCCACAGAGACATATCCTTGCAAGGCTGCGGCATCCGTGCCGCTAGCCGCAGTTGACTTCACAGTGGGCGAGAATGTTGAGGCACTTCTCCGTTCCATGTTTTCGAAGGACTTGCAACCGTCCTTCCTGTACCCCAGTGGAAAACCGTGTATGGTGCACCGCACTCGTCTGTTCGGAAAAGATCTGCCCATGATAGTGGCCAGAGGGACCACGGCCATGTGTCTCGCCTGAAGATCAATGTTGGAGCACATGTCAATGTCATGAGGCAGGGAGCAAACAGCCTTAGATTTCCAAGCCTGACACGAAGAATGCTGGGTGGTCTCACCGGCTGCTGGTGGAAAGCTGAGATGTGCTGAACCATAAGTGCATTTGCCAGCTCGCTGTCGAAGCTAGTCTTTCGCCTACACGTGTAAGCTTCGAGGCCGTAGGCCTGTACTGTCGTTGATCTGTCCCAGAGCGAGAGCTGGAACTCTTGACGACGCCGCCTTACCCCGTTTGTCACGCAGGAAGGGCATCAGGTTCACTCTTAACAGCCTGGAGCGAACCCATGTCCACAGACTCCCTCGAGGATGCCCCGGTGATCGCGATCCTTGTGCATCGGCTGTCTTGCCAGGTTTGGAGCAACAGCCGCGAGAATTGGCTCCCGGCCGTCGCTCGGGACACAGAACACTCAGCTTTCATTCAGAGAGGGAATGCATAGGCTTGCATGAATCGCGCACACTGCTCAGGTGCAGGGTGTCTACCTAGCGGCCACGACAACGGAAGGGTTTGACGTGCCTCCCGGCTCGGTGCAGCCGGCACTGGCTTAAAGCTGCACTATACAGTTATACAGTTATGCCGGCAATGCCAGACCTTGGTGACACTCTTCAGAGGACCCCAGACCTCTCTGCAAAAGAGGGTTCAAGCCCGTTGTCAGCGAGCAAACCTGAAGCTTCTTGCCGTGCTGGTCTTCAGAGCGATGGCGGGGAAAGCCTGGGAACTTTCGGGAACATATCTTGGTTCACTCCGTTTGCAATACCAGCGCTGAGTGGGCTAGGGTCGGGCCGAGAACAACACAGCGCCCAGGCCCAGGGCATCTGACTTGCTCACCAAATGGAGGTAGATTATGCCTGCACGCACCGGCACGGGGGGCTTGCCCCTTCCAGCCCAACGAACTACAGAGGCGAGACAGGGACCGTGAGGCCTGTGTGGGGAGTCTTAAGTCGTGACGTGCCTGGCCGGCTGGGGGTGGACCTCCATCCCAGAGATGCTGTCTTGTCTTTGCTTGTCTGCTTGAGCTGTCGGCAAAGCATCTGCAGTGTAAACGACAGCATGAACAAACGGCTTCCGAGATAGTCGCATGGGAGGAGAGCCACCGCATTGTCTAAATAGCGGAACCTAAGAACATCCACTCCACTGTGCGCTCGCTCCAAGAAGCCGTAAATACGCAATTAGCATTGGCCCGGGCCCCGCGATAGCAACACGCACGATTCAAGCACCAGCGAGCAAAGCACACACACTTCAAGCACCAACGCCCGCGATTCAAGCACACGCGACTCGAGTACCCGCGACTCAAGCACTGGATTGTAGGCTGGGGCGTGGGATTGCAGGTCGGGTTAATGCTGTTGCACTCAAGACTTTGTATCCACAGGCAAGGCGAGCCCAATCTTTAGGTCTCAAGGGTTCAGGGTTTTAAGTTTTTTTTGGTTTGGGGAGCACTTGAATCTAGGGTAGGGTTCAGCGTTCGAGGGTTGCACGTTTCGGAGTTGACGGTGTCGAGTTGTCTGTGTAATCTTAGAGTCTTCATGATCCCCCGAAGCTGTTTCGCGTGGGGGTCTCTGCGGGCAGGGCCTGGGATGGGGGTGGCAACAGTGAACTGGCCGTGTCAGGGGTCAGGAGTATCACTGTTTTTGTAGTATTGGAAGTATTAGTATCCTTTGTAGTCATACTACTAGTGCGACAAATTGTATGGTACAATAATATTGGTAACCATTATTACGTATTTTGGTATTACTTTTTTAAGTATCATCTGTATTATTGTTATTATTATCCTTCGTATTTAATTAATATTAATAGTAGTAATCGTAGTAATAGTAGTAACAGTAGTATGAGTAGTAACAACCGTTGAGCTTTGACTACTTCCTCGTCCTGGCTCCGATTTGTTTGGTATTCTGCTGCCCGAATATTTTGACTGTCGCCCCTTTGTTTATTATCACAGCAGCCCCAACATCAGTTGTTTGAGCCAATCTGGCTTGGAATGTCTCTGCAGTTTAAGCCCCTTCGGCTGGAAATTCTGCCCCGCGGAATATTTCCATTTGCACGCGGTTTCTTAAAGAGATTCTGACATTAGAGTGCGTTAAGGTTTTTGGGATTTAGGGTTTGAGCTTTTACGGGTTTTAGGGTTTTAGCACTTCGGGATTTTAGGGTTTAGGTCATTTATAGGTTGTGGAGTTTAATTATGGTGTCCGCTAGGCCAGATGTTCTGGGCTGTAGAAGGGTTTTGTGGGGTTTTACGATTTGGGACAGGGGTTGGCAATTTTTTTTCGACGCTGAGGCTTGAGGGTATGGGAGTGTCAGCTGACAAGGAGAGCGAAGTCATTTGGGTTTAGGGTTTGGGTATTGGGTTAGGGTTCTAGGTTTACAGGTGTTATCGGGTTTAATTAGGGTTTTGAGGTATCGATTTCGCGCTGCTGGTGCGAATCCAGGGTGCTCGAATCCGGCGCTTTCCGTGCGCAGTGGCTTCTTACCCAGACAAACGAAGCAAGCCCCTTATGCAGGAGGCCCAAGTCAGAATCTTCCAATTTGGCATCAATTTCGTTCTGAAGTAAACCAAAGAAAAGAAAGACCGATAGTAGTGTCAACTCCAAAGCACAGAGATCCCGACCACACCGGCAGGAATTGTGAAAGGGGTAGCGTCAGCAATACGAGATCCATTGGCTAGTGCGCACTCCGACAGGATGATTTGCAGCAAGGAAAGAAGACACATATCTTTTCTGCACTTTTACACCGCTATTTCCGAATGCTCCGCCAGGTGAAGGTTATTTCATCAGCTGGCGTGAAGTGGGCAGAAGCCTCAGGCCTTCGACGTTTAAAGTCTTCCTTTACAGATTTGGTTTGGGTCTAACGAGACTTCAGCGGCCTTAGCCCAGCTCCTGATACACCAGGGATGTATGGGTGAGCAGGGGGAGGCGGGCTTCTTCTCCGACTCGTTGACGAGTTTGCAGGAGGGTGAAGGGGACCTTTTTTTTTTGAGGGGAAGGAGAGAAGAACAGAACGAACTAACGACAGAAAGAAAGACACAGCCAGAGAAACCAGCAATAAAGAAATGAAGAACGAACTGAGAGAGAAAGAACGAACAAAGGAGGAGAGCGAGAAAGAAAGCAGTATAGAAAGAACGAAATCAAGACAGAAAGCACGAACACCTCCAGTGAAGACAAGACACGATTAACGACAAGCCTAGCTTAACATTACGAGCAAACGAACGAAAGACGCAAAGAAATGAGCATAATCATGTAAAGAAAGAGCGAACGAAACACATCAATACCGAACTACAGGAAAAACGAACGAAAGAACGACCGACACAATGAGATCACGAACTGATAAACGACAGAAATAAAGACACACACACACACAAAGAGGCAGGAAACAGAGGAAGACACAAGGACAGAGCGAACAACAGGAATTAAAGAACGGAATAGCGACAGAAATTAGGAGAGAGACAGAGACAGAGACACAGAGAGAGAGAGAGAGAGAGAGTAGCCATTTGAATGAGTAATTCCTCGAGCACTTTTGCAGATGTCTCCGCACATAATTCCCCGGTGCGCGAGTACGCGCGAGGGGCCGTAGCAGCACTTGCGACCTTCCCTCTGGCCGAGCTGAAGAAGAGTAGCCATTTTGACGGACTCTGCCATGAGCATGCATCTTCTAATGTTGCCCTCATTTTTCGGGTACTTTGAGATACTGTGGCATGGGAGTCTCTTGTGCTTGACATCATGCTCGGAATCCGATTGCCCAGGCACGAAGGGGAAAAACCCCTGCCCAGGCTACGGCAACGAAAGTGAGCACACCTCCGACTTTTTTTCCTTGGGACAGCCGACATACTATCCGGTAACTCCATGTTTGCTACGATCAAGGTGTATTCCAGTTGCCAAGCGAAGCTGCTTAAACTTAAGCACCCTGGTGCCGTGGGCTTTCGCATGCAACATATTCGTCCCGCAACGGCCGCGGGCGCAGACGCGCGGTGTGTAGGGGGTAAAACCTCTACACCATAGCCCTGGCGAAAGACAGACTATTAGCCATTTTGGCTCAAGTACTGCACCCTTTACTTTGCTTGGGGGCTTGTGACGCCCTCTTGCTTCGGGGGGAGCCGGGGGGTTAACCTGGATTGTTACTCCAGGGGAGCCTTCCCAGTTTCCTCAACGGTGGTTGAGTCTTCCGTCCGCTGCCGTGTGCTTAAGCGGCCCCCGTGTCCCTTCCGCGCCACTTGACCCCTGACCACGGCCTCTTT